TTATACAGGATACAGAGGGTATCGTATATACGGGATATGCTATAAGGTACTTTACAAGGTATCTCAGATGGTATTCTATAAGGTATGTATAGGGTATAGAAGAGGTATTATGTATTTTATGAGGTATTCTATAGGGAACTCTATAGGACATCCTACAGGGTATTCTATAAGGTATTCTATGTGGTATATAGATGGTATTATAGAAAGTATTTTCTCAGGTGTTGCATAGGCTGTAGGGTACTCAATAAGGTGTATATATATGTACACATAAAACTTCCACCTTTTCCTGCGCACTCCGGCTTTACCATGACCTGGTTTCGAATCCGTTCCCAGGAACCTCCTTTGCTGCAGGAGCAAGTGCGGCTGTCTCCAAGGGCAGCGGCGTGTACCAGGTGCCAACGGACGGCCTGGCAACCGCAGCCCATAGCTCGCAGGCTTGTCAGAGATATTGCACATCGCGCTCCTTCAGCACTTGGCAATAACATGCTTACACTTTGGCCTGAGGGTCAAGGGCGTATTTGACATGGACTCCTGCAGAAAAACACTCTTCAGCACGTTGATGCTAGAATACTACTATCACCATGTAATCAATAGCAATAATCATAACAAAAAATAACAATACTAACGTAATATGTTAGCTGTAAGCGCCGAGAGGCTGCAGGCTTCTTTTCAGCTAGCTCAGGAGCTGCCTTTGCCAAGGGTCTGGGGGAATCGCACTCAACTGCGCAGAGCGACGCGAATCTCGGATTGCCAAGATGCTCCAGGCACCCCGGCCTTCCTGAGCGATTTCGATCCACTAATCATCGATCGCGGATCAGAACTAAACCAATGCATCCCCATGTTTTGGTCTAGCTGGAACTCATGGTAGTAAAGAGGATGGAGCGCCCGCAAAACGAATAAGGCAGCCACTGCAACTTACCGATACTACTGAGAACGAGACCAGTTGCACATGCAAATGCGAATGAATGCTATTGCTATTGCTCATACTAGCTTCAAATCATGGACTTTCTCAACAGGAAAGAATGACAGTGCTCAAAACTGCGATAACAATCACCATCGATTCTGGCAAAAACAATGCTGCTCTTGCGGACCCCATGTTCCAAGGGCTTGATGAATCCAAGCAGCAGGAACTTGCACATGAACTCGACTGGATGTTCCGGCTTCATCCTCGTCACCATTGTAGCACCAAGTAGTTTATGGGAAGCTCCGAGGCATGCTCGCTGCAAAATGACAGTCCTCAACAGCGCGGGCAGCGGCATGTACCAGGTGCCAACGGACGGCCTGGCAACCGCAGCCCATAGCTCACAGGCTTGTCAGAGATATTGCACATCGCACTCCTCCAGCACTTAGCAATAACATGTTTACACTTTGGCCTGAGGGTCAAGGGCGTATTTGACATGGACTCCTGCAGAAAAACACTCTTCAGCAAGTTGATGCTAGAATACTATTATCACCATGTAATCAATAGCAATAATCATAAGAAAAAATAACAATACTAAAGTAATATGTTAGCTGTAAGCGCCGAGAGGCTGCAGGCTTCTCTGCAGCTAACTCAGGAGCTGCCTTTGACAAGGGTCTGGGGGAATCGCACTCAACTGCGCAGAGCGACGCGAATCTCGGATTGCCAAGATGCTCCAGGCACTCTGGCCGTCCTGAGCGATTTCGATTCATTAATCATCGATCGCGGATCAGAACTAAACGGGGGTATTCTATGAGGTATTACCTATGGTATTATA